ACTTCTGGAATTCTGACTAGACCGTGACAAATTATTAATTTAACTGGAATTCCTATAATGGATTCTCGAATTCGATTTAAGATTTCTTCCCATTTTATATTATTAATTTCTTGTGTTTTTGCAATATTTAAAATTTTAATTGAATTTTCCTTAATTGCTTTTCGTAATTTAATAGTTAAACAATGCAATGTTTCCTTAGTTATCTTTTCATTAATATTATTTTTGCAAATAAAAATTAGATGAAATTTATTTCCTTTCTTTACTATTTCAATATTTCCTATTTTTCCTTCTTTAATTTTAGGAATTAAATTTTTATTTTGTAATGTTTTTGATCCGTCATCACAAGGTTTACCGTCTGCAGTTAAAAGGTACAAATAATTTTCTTTTTGCATAAAAATTTTGTCACGACTGTTTATTATACTTTACTTTTGTCCGCGTGTCATTATCTGTCTTTCAGTTGTGTCTTATTTCGTCAAAAGTCATTTCATTGTAATAATTCGTCTATGTCTTCACTGTCATTGTCTTCGTCTTCGTCAAATTTTTCTTCATTGTCCTCTTCAATATCTTTTTCTTCAATGTAGTCGTCAATGAAAATTTGGTTCTTTGGACAATTTTTTTCTTCATTTTCGCTTTCTGGCATCAAATTTTCTTGAACTTCTCCTTGATTAATTTTACTATTGTTTCCTGTTAAGTTATCAAGAATTTGTAAAAGTTTTGGTGGTATTTCTATTCGTGAATTTGAATTATTATGATTTTGTGAATTTAATTCATCATAACTTTCTGCATCTTCGTAATTTGAAATTTCTGACTCTAGTGTTGAGTTTTGTTGTATATTATTTTCTGTGCTGTTATTAAATAAATTTTCTGTGTAATCAGTTTTATCTGTTTCTTCTAGTGGATTATTATGTATTTCTGCCTGAAATGTATGTTCATAAAATAAAGGTTCATTTAATTCTTTTTTAATAAATGGTACACTTTCTCCTTCTGACTTTTCTGTATTACGCGTCTTCATCCCTAAAACTAATAGCTCTAGTTCTTCCATCATTGTTCCTCTTCTTGGTGAAGATGGTAAAGATCTTGGATTTGCATTTCTGTATCTAGCTTCTTCATCTTCTGAACATTCTTCTATCTCATCGTACTGAGGTTGTATTGGATATATATTTGCTATAGGATTTCTAGATAAAGCATCGGCGTTAATTTTTCCTGGCTTATATATTATTTCATAATCATATTCGGCCAATTTTATTCTCCATCTTGCTAAGCGAGAAGTTGGATCTTTCAATTTATGAAGTCAAGTTAATGGTTTATGATTGGTTATTAAGAAAAAATTTTTATCATAAATATAAGGTCGAAAATGTTGAACAGCATATACAATTGCTAATAATTCTTTTTCTATAGTCGAATAATTTTTCTCTGCATCATTTAATACACGCGAAGCATAACTAATTGGTTGATCTTTTCCAATTTGACCCTGACTTAAAATTGCACCTATTGCTGTTCCAGAAGCGTCAGTAGTTAAAAGAAAAGGTTTTGTAAAATCAGGATATTGTAATATCGGTTCTTCACATAATGCATTTCTTAACGTATTAAAACATTCTTGTTCTTTATCTCCTCATTTAAACTCTATTTCCTTTTTTAGTAAATTAGTTAGCGGTTTAGCTATTTTTGAAAATCCTTTAATAAATCTTCGATAATACCCAGCTAATCCAAGAAATTGTTTAATATTTTTTGCATTTTTGGGAATTGGAAAATTTTGAACTGCT